ACGCCTTCCAGTGGATCCAGTACGGCAGCATCAACAACATCTTCATGAGTTTCTACGGCGTGAGCACCTTCGCCATCGACTGGCTCTCCATGAGCTACATGCTCGTCTACATCCCCCTGCTCTTCCCCGTCGCCTGGCTGCTGGACAAGAGGGGCCTGCGCTTCATCGCCCTGGGCGGCTCGGCCCTCAATGCCCTGGGCGCCTGGGTGAAGCTGGGCAGCCTGAAGCCCCACCTCTTCCCCATCACCGTCCTGGGCCAGGTCATCTGCTCCCTGGCCCAAGTCTTCATCCTGGGCATGCCCTCACGCATCGCCTCGGTCTGGTTCAGCTCCCACGAGGTCTCCACCGCCTGCTCCATCGCTGTCTTTGGGAACCAGGTAACGGGTGGCTTCATGCCACCTGCCTGGGAATGTGGGTGGGCTCTCAACTGCCTGGCCGGAGACTGGGAGTGCCAAGTGGGGAAAACCAGGGAAGGGGGAAGAGTTGCACAGGGCCTGGAGGGCAGCAGCAGGGATAAGAGGCACTGACATGGGATCCTTCCTGGAGAATACAACTGGTATGGAGGCAAGCAGCTGGGCTGTGGACTGATGGTGGTGGCAGAGGCAAATGGCACTACAAAGTTGGGGGCAGCATGGGGGGTGGGTATGACGCTGGCTTTGAGAGGTGTTGGGATTCAGGGTCTTCTCCAGTGCTCTCCTATTCCCACGTCTGTGAATATCCAGTCCAGGGTTATGATTCAGTAGAACCATGGATGGGCTGGAGAGGAATGCACACGCTTTAGGCACAGTGGCCTGCGAACCTCAGATCTACAGTTGTACCTGGACTCCACACTACAATATCCTCCTGCTGCTGGCAAGCAGATGGGACAAAGGAGATTAGCTGTCTATGGAAAAGAGTACTTGTTGCTGAGCCCTGAGGGAAAAGGACTTTAGCATTTTCATACCTCTTAAAAGTATGTGTAGAGTTTCCACAAGCAGTTGCTTTGAAAAGAAACAAACCATCCATCAGGCTAGGGCAAGATAAGCTCCCCGAGCACTCCTGTATCAAAGGCGGGTCAGGGAACCTGGCAACCTGCACTTGCTGAAGCTGTGATGGTCTTTTCTTGTAGCCACACAGTGCCCAGAGGAGATAAATTTTTCCACAGCTTTGAGAAGATCAGTGAAATAACTTCTTGACCCTTGCACCAGAACACCCACTCATCCCTGTTGCACGCAGCAGATAGGCCGATACTGATGCAATGTGGTGTAAGAGAAACAATTCTGGCTCTGTGACACTGACACGAAGAACCTGGCATTAGCTGCTAGGCTGGAGCTGTGTGCCCTGCTTTGGAACCCAATGTACGCCTCTACAGATGACTGCATCAATGTGGACAGTCTTTGATTCAGCCTGTGGGTGGCTGCCATTCAGATTTGAATGCTTTGCAATCCAGGTGGTTTCTAATGCATGGTTCTTCCTCACAGATAGCTTTGTGTGCAGTGGGTTTGAGGTCTCCTTTCCCCACATTCCTGGGTTTCTGTGTTTATCTAGATGCTGTGGGGGCAAAAAGAGGTGAATGCTTGGAGATGTTTGAGGAACTGAAGTCGGTGGAACAGCACTAGGAATTAAGAAGACTCTGGTTTTCATTTTTTGGAAAGAGAAAACGTACTTATCTTTCTCTGAGTGAATCTAAGCTTTACTCTTCATTCTTATCACCCAGACTAGTGTGCTGTTTTTTATGTATTTTAAAGGAATCTTTATAGTGGAAGGTATTTAACTTGGCATGAGTACTCTGCTGATTTAGGAGTAAATAAGTAACTGAGAATTGTGCTGTCAGACGTATTTTTAAATAGTTCAGGTAGAGTTACTCAGCAGTGTGCATAAGAAATCCAAACAACGGGGTTTTCAGCCTATGCTATATAGGTATCCTTATCGTCCTAAAAGGAGCAGGCTCGTATAACAGTTGTGAAAAGTAAATGTTGGCTACAATTTTGGTGCTCTGCACTGCTCTGGGTGTTGAACTGACATGGCAATAAGGCCTCAGTTCAGTACACAGCCTTTGCTTTGTAAGCCCAGGCTTCCCTTTCAGAGAATCAGAGAAGTCAGAAATGGCAGTGGCTAAAAGCAGGGCGTACTCCATAGGAAGGACCTATTCAATCTCTTAGTCAAGGGTCCTGAGGTGCGTAATGCCAGTGAATGAAGAGTAGCTGTTCTGTTTACTGGTGATGTTGGAGAGGGGGAAGAAACAGAGGCATCCTTTTTTCCTCCCTCTGAAGTTAAAGACTATGTTTTAGGGAGTGTTAGCAAAGGGTATAATACAGCGGGTTTGTAGTGTAATTGCAGTATGCTCCTACACACATTCCTCTACAACTGTATGGTTTTTCTTTTCTTGCCACGTCACATAGTTACAAATCCTCAAGGTGGAAAACGAGTTATCATGATTATTGTTATTGAATGCCAAGCACTGATGTCCCTCTCCATCAAGAGCTGCGACCAACTACACGGAGGAGCAGGGCAGTGTCACTTTGTTTGGTGTACCTACCCTCTGCCATAGGCAGCACTTCAGCAGCGCTGTCCTGAGGAGAGCCCTGCCTGCTGCTTCATCTACATGTGCTGAGGTGATGTCTGCTCAGGATGCCACTGCTCCTTGCTGAGTGATGGTAACCTTCAGGTTCTAAGCTAGTCCTGAACAGTAAATCATGGAATCAGTCAGACTGGGTAACTCGGGGGGCAGCATCGGTAACCTCTGACAGCATTCCAAAAAGTAAACCCAAGTCAGAGAAACTTCACTTTTTCATTCTCTGACCCAAGTCTTTGTTTCAGGAATACAACATCCTAAAGACAGGTCATTGCTCCCATCTTTTAAAAAACCCTAGTAGAGTGTCAGATTTTCCTCACTTTTTTCTGCAAAGTGTAAAGAAGGGTTAGGTTGAATCAATGAATCAGTGCTGGAGAGTGTTAGAAGAGTGTGGACACCTCTGGAAGAGGCGATTACATTCTCTTGTTTACCCCCTGCTGGTTTTCATGACACTTCACTTTTCCCCATTTTAACAGGAAGATGCATAGGTTTTTCCATTCTTTCTCCTTGTCCCTACAAGTGCATGTATGGGGCGTAGAATGGGGTTTACTTAAATGTTGGGTACTTAGGCGTTAGGGTTATTAAAATATTACTAGGTATTAGGGTATTACTAGGTAATGGCATTAGGTAATGGCATTAATATTACTAGGTATTGGCATTAGGGTTATTAAAATATTACTAGCATCTCATTGCTTAAAAGACTAAGGAAAATCTATGTGGGGACTTCTCAGGCTGAAGTTCTGGGGTAAGGAAGCAGAAGTGTTTTGGAGAGTTCACTTCTGTTCTTCGGATGTGGTTGAATATCGTGAGGAATTTGTCTGACGTGGTTCTGAAATGCAGCCATCAGTAGCAGCATGCCTGCTCCGTCGTCAGCGGTGTCACTTGTGGTTTGCGTAAGGCCATGCTGCTTCCATTTTTGATGTGTTGGTTCATCAGCTGGTTCCCTGTTTGGGGACATGGCTCAGACCTGACAGGTTGCAGCAAATGGGATTTCTATGTCGGAGGGAGACTGTCTCCTCATTTTGTCTGGTGACAGGACCGCAGAGGGAAGAAACACTCTCCTGAGATACTAGCATTTGCAGGAGTGTGTGCTTGCTGGAGCAGCAGGCCTTGCCCCTTCCTTTGACATACTTGCTCTGCTGTCCTTTGGGGATGAGGAGACGTGCTGTGGCGTGACAGAACTAACACAGTGGTGGGGATGCTTAGGTAACTAGTTAAATTCTTGTGGCTCTTTTCGATACCTGTTGGCCAGGTACCAGCTGTCTGCTTCAGCCGCTGTGGAGCGAGCTGCCCTGCTCTGCTTGTGCCAGTCTTCTTTAGGAATGTTGGGTTTAGGTGTATCTCTTGCCCTTCTGACAAAGAGAAACGAGCAACTCATGGGCTTGGGAGTAAGGATGCAGGTGTGTTAGATGGTCTCTCTGCTGTAATTTTACCTCTTCTTTCTTTAGCAGGGGTTGATAAAAGGTGTTGATCTGGTTTGGGAGGAAGGAAAACTTCAGCTTCTTATTAATCTCTGCCTCTGGAGAAAAATGATGCAGCACCTTCCTGATCTTCAGGTGGGGTCCTGTCCTTGTTCTGATGCAGCTGGCATGTGACTTCAGAGATTTAGGGCTTTCATAACAGAAATGGCTTGAGGCAGAGCTTTTAGGTGCTCTCTGTGTATTGCTGGGAGTGCCAGTCCATCAATGCTGGCTTTTGAGGTGGACAAACTGGATGATAAGATGTGAATGAAATTCAAGGAAGTGTTTTGTCTCTTGGTGAGTCTTTTCCTCTTGCTCTAAACCTGCCTGCGATAGTGGGTGGGTGTTGCTGAATAATCAGGTGTGCACTATCTGAATGGCCATTGCTTTTGTGCTGATGAGCCTTCAGTGCTGTTTGTGCTGAGCATGTGCTGCTGTTCCATGCCTAACTGCTAACTGTCCTGTGCCTTTTGCTCTTCAGGGAAGGCAACACCTGATGGTCTAAGAAGTGTTGTGGAAATGGAGCATATCCTGTGGAATTCCTGTCTTGGAGCAGACTTCTAGATCGCACTGGCTGTTCTGTCCCTGCTCCCAATCTCTTGAGATGAATCTGGTCCATATTAGAAGTAGGGGCAAGTGGTGGCCTGCCTCACATCCCTCTGTAGCTCGGCCCTCTATCTTCCAGGTATTTAGCTATTGGCACAGAGAAGGTTTTAGCAAAGAACCAAGAGGAGCTGGTAGTGGCAGTAGTTAATGGTTGACACTCTCCAGCCCTGGCTCCTGTAAAGAAGGGCAGGGTGGATCAGAGCACTTGGATCAAAGGAGTGCTATGTGGCCAGCTCTCCGAGATCCTGGCCAGAGCTCAGTGTGGGAGGGTGTGCTGACCAAGCAGCAACGTGGCTTTCCCAGGCATGCCTGTGTTTCTATAAACGGACACTGGAGCCTGAAATGAACTTTTTCTACCCATTTAATCCGATGCTCCCTCCTCAGCCACACCCCAAAGGCAGCTCCCTCTCTCCCCTCACAGAGGCAGTTGGCTTTCGGGTTCTGCTCTGTCAAGTTGCATGGGAGTTAAATGAATGACTGCAGCGTTTTTGCTGGGAGGGGCTGCCCTGTGGCACCCTAGACACTTGCCCTGCAGGATCCCCTGGGGCTGGTGATGTTAGGTGACTGTAGTAAGTCCTTGAGCGAAGTATATCCCAACTGAGGATTCCAGCAGCAGCTGAGGTAGCTGTCAGAGCTGAGACCCCTGTTCTGCTCTACTGTCTCTTATCTGCTGCTGCTGTTTTGCTGCATTGCGTTTCTTTCCCAGTAAACTGGGGGAAGGTGCATTCAAGGCTGAGAGGCCCTGAATACCTTCCAT